CCTCGTCACCTCCTCTGCCTCCCCAACCCCTCCCTCCAGCTCTAGGCAACCACTAATCTACTTTCCCCAGGTTTGGGATCTTCTGCCTCATTATTTCTTTAAATAAACTCTACTTCTCCCTCTCTCCTTCTGGAACCTTGATTAGTTTAATATTTATCTTTTTGCTGGAATCCCTTAGCTTACATAGGCTTTCATCACTACTTTTAAATCTTTGTTTCTTCTTCTGCTGAGAGCTTCTTGAATAAGTAGTACCATAAGTCATAAATATTCAAACTTAGAATTGCTATGAAAATATTTAGGTTATTGGGCTAGGATCCTAAAGCAAGTTTTGTTAAGTAAGATTGAACCTCTTGGCCTCAAGACTCAGGTCTGAAGATTAAAAAGGATCTGAGTATTTCTTACTATAAGGTTAAAATATGGAGGCAAATTTATTTTGCTGATATTGATTACACTAATAAAGCCATAAAAGTCCCTTTTTATACCATTATATGAGTTTCATATAAGAAGAAAGACAATATAGAAAGGTAGAATTTTAAAATCATTATGCTTTTAATATTAAAAATATTTTTAGGATCATTGCATAAACTCTTGAAATCTTACATTTTTCTCCAAGTGTTGCTTATAGTTTTTGTTTGTTTATTTGTTTAGTTTTTTAAGATTTTATTTTCTTAGGGCAATTTTGATTCACAACAAAATTGAGAGGAAGGTACAGAGATTTCCATACATCCCCTACTCCACACATGTATAACTTTCCCGTTAACAACACTCAATATAATGGTGCATATTTTACCAAGGATGAAGCATTCATTGACAAATCATAATCACCCAGAATCCATAGTTTACACTCGGGTTCACGCTTGCTGTTATACATTCTATGGCTTTGGACAAATATATGACATATGTCCATCATTATAATATTGTGCAGAAGGGGGCTACTTATAAGCCTATTTAGATCACGTATTTTTTCCTGTGTGTTTTGGCAAATTGTGTCTTTCAAAGAATTGATCTGTTTCATTGAGATTATCAAATTTGTGGGCATAGACTTGTTCATAATATTCTTTGGTTATGTTTTTAATATCAGTGGGATTTGTAGTAATGTTCACTCTTTGATTTCCAATATTAGTAATTGTGTACTCTTTTTTTCTTAGTCTGACTAGAGGCTTATCAATTTTATTGATCTTTTTAAAGAATCACCTCTTGGCTTCATTAATATTCTTTATTGATCTCCTGTTTTCAGTTCTACTAATTTCTGTTCTACTTCCATGTAGAAACTCAGATTATCAATTTTTAGTGGTTTTTTTTATTCACATATGCATTCATTCTTACAAATTTTCCTCTAAGCACTGCCTTTTCTGCTGTCAATTTTGCTAGCTTGTATTTTCTTTTTCATTTAATTCAAATTTTTTATTTCTCTTGAAATTTCTTTTCTGACTCCCGTTTTATTTTTAGGTGTATTGCTTAATATCCACCTATTTTGGGATTTTCCAGTAGTCCTTCTGTTATTTTCTAGATTTTTCCATTGTGCTCCGAAAGCAGACATTATGTAAATTCTTGTCAATTTAAGGTGTGTTTTATGGCTAAGAATGTGTTCTGTCTTGGTGAATATCCCATATGACTTGAGAAAAATGTATTCTCTTGTATAGATTTCCATTCCAATCCATTTGATTGATGGTGTTGTTGAGCTCAACTGTGTCCTTAGTGATTTTCTGTGTGCCGAATGTGTACATTTCTGATCTAGGGTGTTGAAGTCTTCAAGTGTGATAGTGAATTCATCGGTATCTCTTGGCAGTTCTGTCAGTTTTGTAGTTTTAGTAGCTTTCTGTAGTTTGTTGCTCTGTTTTAAGGCCACGTACACAGTAAGAATTTTTAATGTCTTTGAGAATTGACCCTTTCATTATGTAATGCCCTTCTTTATCCCTGATAACTTTTCCTTGCTTTACAGCCCATTTTTTCTGAAATTATAAGAGCTACTCTTGCTTTCTTTCTTTTTTCTTTTTTTACCACAAAATAATATATTTGTATGTATTGCGAAATGATCACACAATGTCTAGTTAACATCCATCACTACACACAGTTACAATTTTTTTGCTTATAACGAGAATATTTAAGATCTCTTAGCAACTTTCATATATACAATACAGTATTATTAACTATAATCAAGGCGCTGTACATTATATCCTCAGGTACTCCTGCTTTTTTTTGATTAGTGTTAGCATAGTATATTTTTCTTCATTTAAGAGAATATTGATATATTTGTGTAGTATCTGCCATATACATTATTGTTTTCTATTTGTTGCCCTCTTTTTGTTTGTATTTTTGTGTTTCACTCCTCTGCCACATGTGGTTTTAATTGAGTATTTTATATGATTCTGTTTTTTTCTCTTAAGCATATCAGTTATACTTCTTTTTTTGCTTTTTTTAGTAGTTGCTCTAGATTTTGCAATATATATCTACAATTAATCCAAGTCCACTTTTAAATAACCATATACCACATCACAGGTATTGTGAATACTAGAATAACAAAATAATACTAATTTCTTCTTCCTGTCCCTTGTATCATTGCTGTCATTCTTTCACTTACATACAGAAGCTCCTCATCTTACAATGAGGTTACATCCTGATTAACCATTGTAAGTTGAAAATATAAGTAAAAAATGCATTTAATACACCTAACTTACCTAACATCATCTTACAATGAGGTTACATCCTGATTAACCATTGTAAGTTGAAAATATAAGTAAAAAATGCATTTAATACACCTAACTTACCTAACATCATAGCTTAGCCCATCCTACCTTAAACACATTCAGAACACTTATATTAGCCTACAGTTGGGCAGAATTATCTCACTGCCCCTGCCTAGCCAGCATTATGAGAGTATCACACTGCATATCAGTAGCTTGAGAAAGATCAAAATTTAAAATTTACATTATGGTTTCTACTGAATGGGTATCACTCTCATACCATCGTAAAGTCGAAAAATCTTAAGTCAATCATCATTAAGTCAGGAACTATCTGTATAAGCATACATAAATATATCATTATATATGACATATACATAAACAAACATATTGTTGCTTTTATTATTTTGAATAAACTTAAATGTTAGATCAATTAAGAATAAGAAAAGTAAAGTTTTTATTTTCGTTTCGTTCCTTCTTCAGTGCTTTTCCTTTCTTTATATAGATCCAAGTTTCTGACCTTTATTATTTTCCTTTAACACATCTTGCAAGCAGGCCTACTGGCAACAAATTTCTTTTGTTTGTCTAAGAAAGTGTTTATTTCGCTTGCGTTTTTGAAGGATGATTTCACAGAATACAAAATTCTTGGTTGGTGGTTTTTTTCTCTCATCACTTTAAATACTTCACTCCATTCTCTTCTTGCTTCATGGTTTCTGAGAAGTTGGATAAAAGTTTCATCTTTGTTCCTCTATAGATAATATAGGTAAGGTATTTTATCCCTCTGGCTTCTTTTAAGATTTTTTATCTTCGATTTTCTGTGATTTTAAAATGATATGATTGGGTGTAGTTTTTTAGGCATTTTTCCCGCTTGTGTTCTCTGAGCTTCCTAAGTCTTTTTCTCTCTGCTTTTTGGTTTTTGAGGATTCTGTTGATAAATCCTCGATCACAGAGATTCTTTCCTCAACTGTGTCCAGTCTACTAATAAACTCATGAAAGGTGTTCTTCATTTCTGGTAAAGTGGTTTTTACCTGTAGTGTTTCTTTTGGTTCATTCTTAGGATTTCCATCTCTGTGCTTTCATTGCCCATCTGTTCTGATGTGCTTTCTACCTTATCCATTATATCCCTTAGCATATTAATCATAGCTGTTTTAAATTCCCTGTCTGATAATTCCAATATCCCTTCCATGTCTGGTTCTGATGCTTGCTCTGTCTCTTCACAGTGTTTTTCATTTTGGTATGCATCATAAACTTTTTTTTGATAGGCAGACTGTTGTAAATATGCCCTTAGTAATGAGGGTAGGAGAAGCATTCTTTAGTCCTATGATTAACTTTCAGTGTTTTGATGAATTTAGGCCTCTGGACTGTCCACTTCACAAGTGTTTCTCAGTTTTTTTCTCTTCCCTTAGGTGAGACAAGATGGCTAGAGTGGGCTGCAGTTGGGTATTTCCCTTCTACAGGTCGATTAGAATCTGATAATACCCCTGCAACTTAGGCTCTGGTTAACTAGTTTCCCAGGATTGCAGACCTTGTTAAGAAGAATCAAGTGCTCTGGCTTATTTCAAAATGGTCCTTTTTCCCTTCCCTTGTCAGAAAACTGAGGGTATTTTTTTCTGATATTTACTGTGGGAATCTGTTTGAGCTCCTGGAGGTAAAACTCAAAATGTTGTAGGTACCCCACTAACTGGGTTCCCCTGGAGTTTTTAACTCTTGGAGCTGCCCATGCTGAGCCTCCAACAGTTTGTAAATTACAGTTCAGGTTTTCCTACACCCATACTGGTTCTTCTGGCAATTTCTGCTCATTTGTCTCTGCTTTGGTAAGTTACGATGCCCTGTTAGTCTCTTAAATTATGGGGCAGTAGTTTGCCCTGTGCTCTCCTCTCACTTAATGGATCTAAGAAGAGTTGTTGATTTTTTATTCTGTTAAGCTGTTTTTGTTGTTTGGTTAAGTTGGTGATTTATTTCTAAGCTTCTTACATTCAGAACCAGAAAGCTACTTGTAGTTTTAAAGAGTAAATAATAATGTTATTGGTATTTCTTGAAATTTTAATTTGTGATGTTTTTATATATATCTTTAGATATAATATTGGGTATTGTAATATTCTGTTAAAACTTTTCTCAGTTGAGCACATAGATTCTAATTATTTTTCCATGAAGCACCAAAAAGTTTAGATTCTTTATATAATGCATATATGTATATATGATTAAATGTTTAGATGTTACTGAATATACAATTAAAAGATTATTTTTAAATTATTCTCTTAATTTGCTAATATTTATATCTTTCCAATATTTTAAATACTCCCATCTCTTTTTATCCAGGTTGAAGATTGTAAAAATTTCATTTAAGTGCAAACAGTTTTTTATTCAACTTAGAAAAGAATTGGTGAGTATCGATTTAATAATTATTAACATAAATAAAGTCTTAAGAAATGATGACATTTCTGAACTTTTAGTACGAGTGAAGCTGTTTTTAATACTGTTGATAACTACATTCATTTTATGCATTTTTCTCTTTATCACTTCAGTAGACTCTGCCAGGTAGTGTAAAGAGAAGAAGCTAGATAAGGTCTGATTCCTCCACTTAGGAGCTTAAAGTCTAGTGAGGGAACCACAGAGGAAAACAGTGGTAGAGGGAACAAGAAATTCTCACTGCATAGAGGTGAAAGCAAAACAAACTTCCGTGGGAGCTTAACCAGGAGGTTGAGAATTTCCAAATGGATAATGACACCCTGTAAGGCTTGATAAGGAAACAATATTCAGCTGGTACTTAAACATTATCTTGAAGAAATTTACTGATGCTAAAATATCTCATAAACACTGTGGGGCTCAGACTGCTGTTAGAGTTTCTGTCACCCGGAATGAGTGCTACCCCTCCTCTACCCCGCACACACACTACACTCTTGCTCCTAATGTTGGAAAATTAGGCATTTGGTTGGAGTAGTATTTTGTTTTTTGTTTTTTATTTTGACCTAATTCAGTTTCTTTTCTTTTTAAAATATTAGGTCATTCTTATATAAAAAATATCATTGATAATTGCCTACCAAGTTGATAAATTCACATTTTATGGCAGTGTATTTATTTCCCCAGTGTTTTTATGGTAATGATTTAAAATTCTTCTAGATATCCATTCTACTATCTCCTGAACTTAGAAACTGAACTCAATCATGTGTTCATTATCAGTCCCCAGAGTTCGTATATGAGGACAGTAACTGAGAACTTTATATGTCCTTTTTCTTTTTTCTACTAAATCTGTAACACTTGATTTATAAGCTCATTTCATTTTGGGGAACTTGAGTGTTTAGTTTTGTTTCTTATTCATGAACACATAGTAAATTTCCTCTCTTCTTTAGAATGGTCATGCCCTTTTTATGTATTAAATACAGCACATTGAGTTATCATGGAAAGTACAGTGTCAGAAAGAATTTCATCTTGTAATTTTTTCTATTTTATCAGAGTAAACTAATCTTATTCTGACTTACATTATTTTTTAGAAATTACAAATTAATGAAGATTTTCAAGATGGTTGTATGTGTGTAAAATATATTCAGAAATCTAAAAAATGTACTTGAATCACCTGCATTTTATCACAGGATATTGATCTGCTAAGTTACTATGATTAATCATTCATTTATGCTCACAAAATATGGAAATTTTTTTCAACAGTTTTTATTGAAATAGAAAAATATATAGATTTTAAGTAGAGTGCTTGGTAAGCATATGAAATATAATGTTAATATGTAGAATATTACTACCACCCAAGAAGATGTTATTATTGCTAATGGAGCTGATGCCCACTTACAGTCATTAATCTTCCCAAAAGGTAAACATTATTCTTATTTGTATCACCATGGATTAGTTTGTTTATTTTTGAACTTTAAAAATAGAACTCATATAGAATGGGTTTTTTTTTGGTCTGCTTTTTTTTTCCATTTACATTGTGAGATTCATCCCTGTTGTAGCACAAAGCAATAGTTTATTCCACTACTGTATGTTATTCTACTTAATAAATGAATAACCATAAATTGAGTTATTCATTTTTATAATATTGGACACTTTTAACTTTTTTAGATTGTAGCTATTATGATTAAAGCTACTAACAAACATTTTTTGTACATTTTTCAATAAATGTTTAGAGGAATAAAATATGATAAATTTTATCTGGAAACTAGAGAACAAGTATTTTACTTTAAATATTGGTAGAAGACAGTACAGAAGTCAACTTTTCTAATTGTTTCCCATTGTAGTACTATTGTATTAGTAATAATAATAATAGTAAATAGTTAATGTCTAACATTTATTGAGGTCTTACTATGTGCTTGGTAATATGCCAATCATTTTCATATCATTTAATCCTCACAACCATTGTCTGAGGTAATGTATCATTATATTTGTATCATAATGTCTGAGGAATGTGTTTAGCCTCAGGTAATAGCAGCAACAAAAGTTAACTAACAGTTGATTAAAGACTATATACAGGCATACTCTGCAGAATTTTGCCGCCTTAATGTTTTTTTCTCTGAAAATCCTTTTATTTTTACATGTCAAACCTATAGAATCTACTCATCTTTCAACACCACATTGTATATATCTATTGTTTACAAAACATGTGGGGAAAATTTTGTTACATTACAAATACAATTGGTAGAATGTCAAAATATAGACTTTTCGAAGTATGCAAAATTTCAAAAAAGGGTGAACACATATGCATCTTAGATTTTGCTTCTACTGTTAAGCATAATTAATTCTCTGGGACATCAGAAACATGACGGAGTGAGAGATGTCCCCAGATCTCTCCCCTGGAAACAACAATAAAATGAGCTGAGCATCTAACACTGCACAAAAAAATCCAAACTACACACCAGCGTCAGAGCGTGGTATCTGCACATAAGAGCTACCACAGGTCAGAACCCCAGGAGTTGGGGCAGTAGACTGGGAGAAACAAAGAAGCTGTCTCCCATAGCTGGAGCTCCCTGCAGAAAGAAGGGGAGGGGAGAAGGTACTCTGGGCTCCATGCAATGGCAGTGCCCAGGGAACAGGGCAGAAAGCACAGAAGTGGGGATGGCAGAGAAGCAACAGTTGATTATTACCAGCTGTGGTTGCAAAATGGACAGCTGAGCCACAGTCTCCATCCCCCAACCCATAGGGCCCCATCCCCATAATCTCCAAGACCGAACACCACAGAGCCCCGGGAAGTGTGAGCAAATGCTACCAAAACTGTTGTTAACATAGACAGGGACTAAAAATGAGGGTAATGAGCGTGATTGAATATTTTTGAGAAAAAGAAAGGCATTGTTAAGACTTCATATAAAGCAGGGATCCAAGAGGCTTAGAAACCAAAAGAAAAACACTTCTTTGCAATAGGCTAAAGAGAGACCTTTATATAATAAATCTACTTTCTGGGGGAAAAAAAAAAAGCAGAATACACTTCCATTAATGCCCAGGTGGAGAAATACTCCATTAAACACCATAAACAACCAAGGTGACAAGAAAATTAGCTTAAAGACATGGAGATATGCAACTTAAAATCTTCAGAAAATTAGCTTAAAGACATGGAAATATGCAACTTAAATGACAGAGAATTAAGGATGATACTTCTGAAAAAAAACTCACATCCAAAATAATTCATATCAACAGTTCCAGGGATTGAAAAAACAACTAAATCAGCAGAATGAGTTTTTTAGCAAGGAGATTGGAACCCTCAAAAAGAACCAAATAGAACTTCTGGAGATGAAGTACACACTGCAAGAGATGAAGAATGAAATGGCAAGCTTGGAAACAGTCAACCAACTGGAAGAAGTGATCAGTGATATCAAAGACAGAAATCTAGAAATAAATCAGAAGGAAGAAGAGAGAAACCAAAGAATGAAAAATAATGAAAGAGAAATACAAGAACTAGCTGATACCATCATGAGAAGGAACATAAGAATAATGGGTATTCTTGAAGGGGAGGAAAAGGAGCAGGGATCAGAAAGCATTTTCAGACAAATAGTTGACAAGAATTTCCCAAATCTAAGGAATTCAAGAAGTCAGCATAACACCCAATTATCTCAACCCAAAAAGGCCTTCTCCAAGACACACTGTATTAAAATAATTAAAAATCAATGACAAAGTATTCTCTGGGCAGCCAGGGAAAAGAACAGTAACCTGTAAAGGAAAACCCATTACTATCATCGGACTTCTCAGCACAAACCTTACAAGCGAAAAAGGAGTGGAATCAAACTATTAAATAAAAGAAACTACCAGCTGAGAATAGTGTATCCAGCAAAACTCTCCTTTAGATATGAAGGAGAAATAAATTCCTTTCCAGACATACAAAAATTGAGGAATTGTGCAATACAAGGCCTGCATTACAGGAAATACTGAAAAGGGTCAGCTCACCTAAAACAAAATGACAAAAAAATGCATAACTATGAATAAGGGGACTAGCAGGCAGATAGAAGCAAAGGGGCGCAAACCTTATTAAGAACAGGGCATTATAAGCTTAAACAATAAGAGATTTGCTATTGCAAGATAGTAATGAACATTCAGCATACATAGGGACAAATTGAGACAACAGTAACAGAAAAGAGGAGGATTAGGGTTTTAGTCATATTTATAAACAAAAACTCATAATCCTGCAAAATAAATGTACTTGTGTACAAAGGAAATATCTTGAAACAGTAAATATATATGTATGTGTATATATATATGTATATGTATATGTATATATGTAAAAGAATCCTCTATATGTTCGTAATGGTAACCACACGCCAAAGATTTAGAACTGAAGTATATAACATAAAACAAGAAGGACCAGAGGGGAAACCCACAAAACGCAACCAAAATAAAATCAAACACATGGACAAGGAAGTAATGAGAACACCAAGCTACCAGAAAGCAAAAGCTAAAATAGCTATAGGAAAACTTCATATTTCAATAATCACCCTAAATGTAAATGGACTAAACTCACTAATAAAAAGGCACAGAATTGCAGATTGGGTCAAAAAACAGAACCCTAACATATAGCTGCCTCCAGGAGACACATCTCAGTTCCAAAGAAAAATATAGACTCCAAGTGAAAGGGTGGAAAATGATATTTCAAGCAAATGGCATTCAGAGAAAAGTGGGAGTAGCAGTACTAATATCAGACGAAATGGGCTTCAAAATACAAAACGTAAAGAAACATACTGAGGGATACTTCATAATGATAAAGGGAATCATACACCAAGGAGACATAACACTTAGGAATATCTATGCTCCTAATCAGGGAACCCCAAAATATATAAAGCAGTTACTAACATAACTAAAGGGAGAAACAGATCAAACACTGTCATAGTAGGGGACCTAAATACCCCACTGTTGGATATGGACAGATCATCCAAACAGAAAATCAATAAGGAAATA